GTTTTTAGACCCGGTTGGCTGACTTTCATGAGTTGACAGTACTTGAAGTGCTCAGCAGAGAGTAAGTGCTGAAAAAATTGTTATAAAACTCCTACCTGCTGTAGCATAGCCCCTGATAGAAATAGGATTTTGTTAGGGATATGGAAGAATCATCAGTGTTATTATCCCAGCCCCGCCAGTTCTCACTGTCTTGAACATATGCAGGGGAGAAGGAAAAAGCTCCTTCTCAAAATACAACTAAAAATCACAGGGGGGAAATAAGCACCGGGTTAAAAGGTCATTAGGTTTTACTTCCAGGGAAAAGAAATCACTGTATTTTCTGTCTCCTGAGCCTCTTTTGTTTTCATGGTTTCTCACAGTTCAAGTACATAAATTGTCCCTTCAGGGTTATCATATGGTGTTTCTAAAATCTAACCTATCATATGGTTAGTGTTTTTCTCCTGTTTCCAACAAACTGGTGTGGTTGAGACAGGTACACAAGACAGATCATTTGGGGATGGGCTAGAGGAAACTGACCTTGGAGATTACATTCCAGGTTCTCTTGGCTTTCATAAGCACAGGTCTGTACTTTCCACTAAGAAGTAAACTAGAAGTTCAAATCTAAGTTATTTCCTTCTTCAGAGACAGGGTTAGTGAAAATACTGAGTAAATAAATGAGCAAATGGAAGGAAAATACCTGAAACTGCAATGAAGAGAAAGGTAGGATATGACTCTTACCCTTGGCCTTGAGCTAAAGTATCAGGCCAAAGCCTGGGAAGACCTATTCTGAACTTTCCAGCTGCCTGCACATGTTGACTGTTCCATTCATTACCTAATAAATGAATAACAAGAATTCCTCTGCCTCATCTCATGCTACCAAATAATGGCGTTTATTAACATAAAGGCAATTTGCCCTAATAAAACAGCCACCAACAAAGCCACTTGGCAATCACTGTACCTACCACCCAAGTATGTGCACTAGCATTCTGATAATAATATGGACAATAATACACTTACTCAAAACATATGAACACTCATTAGAATGGCTATTATCAAAAAGACAAAATAATGAACTGGATGTGGTGGCTCCTATCTGTAATCCCAGGAACTTAAGAGTCTAAGGCACTTGAGGCCAGGAGTTTGAGACCAGTGTAGGTAACATAATGAGACCTGGCCCCTCGAAACAAGTTTTAAAAATTAGCCAGGCATGGTGGTACATCCCTATACTCCCAGCTACTTAGGAGTCTGAGGTGGCAGGATTGCTCGAGCCTGGGAATTTAAGGCTGCAATGAGTTACGATTGCACCGCTATACTCCAGGCTAGGCATCAGAGCAAAACCTTGTGTGTGTATGTGTGTGTCTCTCTCTCTCTTTCTCTCCCTTTTTTTTCTTGTCTCTTAAATAAAATAAAATAATGAGTGTTGGCAAATATGTGGAGAAACTGGAACACTTATACATTGCTGGAGTGTAAAATGGTACAGTCGATATGGGAATCCATGTGGCAAGTCCTCAAAAAATTAAGCAGAATTAGGCCAGACACGGTGGCTCATGCCTGTAATTCTAACACTCTGGGAGGCTGAGGCAGGTGGATTGCCTGAGCTCACAGGTTTGAGACCAGTCTGAGCCAGAGCAAGACCTCCTCTCTTGAAAAAAAAAAAAAAATAGCCAGGCACTGTGGCAGGCACCTACAGTCCCAGCTACTTGGGAGGCTGAAGCAGGAGAATTGCTTAAGCCCAAGAGTTTGAGGTTGCTGTGAGATATGGCACCATGGCACTCTACCAAGGGCGACAAAGTGAGACTCTGTCTCAAAAAAAAATTTTTTTTGAGCAGAATTGCTGCATCATCTAGCAGTTCCACTTCTGGGTATACACATATGCCCAAATAAGTAAAAGCAGGGACTCAAACATATATTTGTATTCCCCTATGTATAGCAGCACCATTCACAATAGCCGTAAACCAGAAGCAACTTAAGCGTTCTCTCTCTCTCTCTTTTTTTTTTTTGGAAACAGTCTCACTCTGTCAACCTAGGGTAGAGTGCCGTGTGTCATAGCTCACAGCAACCTCAAATTGTGGGGTGCAAGTCATCCTCTTGCCTCAGCCTCCCAAGTAGCTGGGAGTACAGCTGCCCAAAGTGACACCCAGCTGGTTTTTCTATTTTTAGTAGAGAAAGGGTCTGGCTTTTGCTTAGGCTGGTCTCAAAACTCCTCAGCTCAGGCAGTCAACCTGCCTCTGCCTCCCAAAGTGCTAGAATTACAGGCCTGAGTGATCACGCACAGCCAACTCAAGTGTTCATTGATAGATGAATGGATAAACAAAATGTGGCATATACATGTAATGAAATATTCCACCTTTAAAAGAAAGGACCTTTTGACACCTGCTACAATATGGATAAACTTGGAAGACATTAGGCTAAATAAAACAAGCCAATCAAAAAGGGACAAATACATATAATACATATATAAATACATAAAAGTATGATCCCACTTATAAGAAATTCCTAAACCGGGTGGCTCCTGTGGCTCAAAAGGGTAGGGCGCCGGCCCAATATGCCGGAGGTGGCGGCTTCAAACCCAGCCTTGGCCAAAAAAAAAAAAAATTCCTAAAGCAATCAAATTTATGGAGACGGAAAGTAGAGTGACAGTTGTCAGGGGTTGGGGAAGTGAAGGGCAAGTGGAAAGTTAATGTTTAATAGGTACAGGGTTTCATTTCAAAAAGTTCTGGAGATGGATGGTGGAGATGGCTGTATAAAGTATGAATGTCTTTAATGCCACAGAACTGTACCTTTAAAAACAGTTAAGGCTGGGTATAGTGACACATGTGATCCCAGCACTTTGGCAGGCCAAGGTAGGAGGACTGCTTGAGCCCAGGAATTGGAGACCAGCCAGGGCAACATAGTGAGATTTTATTTCTACAAAAAATATTTTTTTTAATTAGCAGGGTGTTATGGCATGCTCCTGTAGTCCTAGCTACTTGGGAGGCAAAGGTGGAAGGATTGCTTGTGCTCAAGACAGCAATGAGTTATGATCACATCATTGCACTCCAGCCTGAATAACAGAATAAGATTCTGATTCTAAAAAAAAAAAAATTTAAGTTAAATAATAAAAATAAGCTTTTCAAAAAGAGTTAAAATGGCCAAAAAAGAGTTACAGGCATGGAGGCTCACACCTGTAATCCTAGCACTCTGGGAGGCTGAGGAAAGAGCTGGAGACCAGTCTGAGCAAGAGCAAGACCATGTGTCTACTAAAAATAGAAAAACTAGCTGGGTGTGGTAGCAGATGCCTGGAGTCCCAGCTACTAGGGAGGCTGAGGCAAGAGGATCACTTGAGCCCAAGAGTTTGAGGTTGCCTTGAGCAATGATGATGCCATAGCACTCTACCCAGGGCAACAGAGTGAAGCTCTGTCTTTAAAAAAAAAAAAAAGGTAAAATTAGGCTCCGTGCCAGCCACACACACAGAGGGTGGCAGGTTTAAACCCAGCCCAGGCCAGCTAAACAATGACAACTGCAACAAAAAATAGCCAGGCTTTGTGGTGGGTGCCTGTAGTTCCAGCTACTTGGGAGGCTGAGGCAAGAGAATCACTTAAGCCGAAGAGTTTGAGACTGCTGTGATCTGTGAAGCCATAGCACTCTACCAATGGTGACAAAGTGAGACTCTGTCTCAAAAAAAAAAAGATGGTAAAATTATATTATGTATTTTTAAAACCACAATCTAAAAAAAAACATTGAGGGAAGAGAGAATACAGCATGTGGAAGAGACAAAAGACAAAACTTGTTTAATGCCTCACTGGTGAACTGTGCTATTCTTTGAATGAAGCCAGATTTTACAAGAAGAGACTTTTCAAGAGTAGTGGTTTATTTTGTTGTTGTTTACTGTTTGAGGACGGTATCTTCAATCAGTCATTAACACTTTGCCTGTGGCAGGGACTGAAGTCTATTTATAAAGGTAGGGTAAGCACTGGCTATTCCCATAGTGATCCTTCGTTGCAGGCATCCAACAAATGTTTATGGATTTAAACGGAATGATTAGAGTCACCCTCAGTTATCTGACTTGACAGAGTCTTGAGCCACCCCCATCCACGTCTAACTAGGGATGCAGTTGTCTTTTAAAAATTGAATTTCACAGACTCTTACATACCGTTTATACTGAGCCAGAGACTGTCCTACAGGCGTTTGATATACCAACTCATTTAATCCTAATAAACCTATGAGGTAGGTACTATTGTTTCCCATTTTACAGGTGAGAAAACTGAGGCACAGACAAGGAAAGTTACACAGTTGTTTAGTGCTGGACCTGGGGTTCCAACTAAAACAGATGTTGCCCCAAAGCCCGTGCTACTAATCATTGAACACCTGACTTTCTCTTCATGAAATAGTAATGTTGGAGACTGGGACTTTAATGACCGTGAAGCTGATTTCAAGGTTCAGCATGGAGAATGAGAAGCAGGGGTGAAGATATTTCTTGATTATGATTCTGCCTCTCTACTCCAACAATATGGTTGGGCCCTTGAGGGTGTGTAGCCAAAGTAAGGGGTTTGAGGGTTTAAGGTCAAATTTTTTGAACCGAAGAAATTTCCCTCCAATTCTGTAGCAGCCCCTTAGTGACGAATCTGCTACTTATCCCGCGGATTTTGCTAATAGTAGATTTTCTAGGTGATTAAGGGAGGGGAAATGAAACACTATTAAACTAACACTGAGTGGCGCTGAACCCAATATAAATCTTTTTTTCTAGTCCTTCCTAGATACGACATGAGACGAATCTGCAACTCTGGAGTTGAAGCCAGGGGGCGGGCTGAGCGGCGACCATTTTTGTTTTGCGGCCGTGCGTTCTCAAAGCATCTTGACTAACAGGACCCCCACAGAGAAGGCGGAGCCTATCAGAGAGTGGGGCGGGGTCTGGGAGACGTGATGATTCAAATGGACTAATGAGCTGGGCGTATCTGGCAGAAGTCGCCAATAAGCTGGCGTGTTGGGGCGGAGCGCACAAACACTAGTGTGTTTGGTTGCACGGCGGCTTTGGCGCATTTTCGGCTGGTTTGATTCATCCATTTTGAAGAGACGGGGGAGCGGGGGGCTCGTCTGATCCAGGGGCCCTGAACCAAGGAGCGGCGGAGTTTGGAAAGCCAGCAGCTCGGGGTTCGGTGGCAGCGGCCCCATCGGCCGAAGTTCGGGGGGGGTGGGGCGCCAAGCGCGCGGGGTGGGGGGGGTCCTGGTCTTTGGCTTCTCTACTCGGTCCTGTTTCAACAGCGAACATGTCGCGGCCTGTCAGGTCAGTGCGGAGTCCGAGGCCTGGAGCGGGTTGGAGGGGGTTGGGGGTGAGTGGTGAAGGAGTGGTGGACAGAAGGCTAGAGTAGGCCCTTCTGAGTGCCACGCGCGGCCTCCTCCCTTTCGGGGCCCGCGCGCGCCCTTGAGCGTGGGGGGCCTTGCTGGCGCGCGGGGGTGGCGGCTGCGCGCCCGTGCGCGCTTCCCTCCCCGCCCCGCGCCGCTGCAGGCTCTGGTCTGTTCTGCTGCCTCCCCCACCCGCCTCACTTGGAGCGGGCGGGGTATCCCTGAACACCCCGGAGCGGCCGGAGGGGGAGGGGTGTGAAGTCAGCGCCCCCAAGTAGGCCCCACCTCCTCGGGGCCGGCCCCTCATTGCCTACAGGAGAGACGGCGGACTTCTGCTCCCCACCTTCTGCGGGGAGGGGCGGCAGCATCCGTACTGCCCCTTCCTCGGCGACTTGCGTGGCGGTGGGAGAACTCAGCCCTCTTTCTCAGGCCGATCGGGGTGTTGCATGCAAGGGGGGAGGGGCAGTGTTGCCACCGGCCCCGCCTCTATCCTCCCGGGTCGCTGCAGGCCCCGCCTCCCGGATCAGGCCGGGCGTGGGCGGGACCCGTTCTTTTCCCCTTGGGCAAAAGTGAGAGTTCGGGACTGGATCCTGGAAAATTAAGGACTGCTGCCTCTCCCTTACCTCGGACTTTTGAGAGAATTAACCCCAAAGTTCCCTTTTTCTCTCCCGACTAGAAATGTCCTTCCTCGGGGAAATGCCCGTACTCAGCGAGGCGCGGGTTAACAGCACGGCCCAAATGCCGTGTGGTCCTTCCGCTCTCACCGTGTACTGGTCTCGGGATATTTTTGTAACCCTCCCCTTCCCTGAGTGACTTTAATAATAAAGAAACTAGGTTCAGTTGTTAACCATTAGACTTCATTATCAAAATTTGAACAACTTTGCTGTTCCCTCAGCGTTCGGTGGAATCGCCCTTTGCCATCCTCCGGGCTATTGTATGGAATGTGCCATTTATGGAGGGGTGTGGTTTAGACCAATCTGTTCTTAAAAAGGAGAGCTGTTGCAAATAAATACTTTTAATGTAAGGAATTGCCTACTTTGCATACTGTTTACTGAATAAATAGATAAAGGTTCAGTTTTAAATGTTTTAACAGTTGTCGTTTCCCATTCTTCATTCCAAGTTTTGTGGGAAATGGTAGCATCTTGACTTAGAGTTTTAAAGAAAAGGTTTGAGACTCTGGAAGGGGTATTGTTCTACACCATTCACTCCTGTCGAGATCATCCTTCTCCAACTGGGGGTGGTGTGGGACTGCATACCCCTCCTATGCAAGGGGTGGGAATGAGGAGAATGAGCTAGCTCCTTGACAGCGTTTCTGCCGTTCTATTTCAACTCGCATCTCTAATAACCCGCAGTCTCCACTGGGAAAGTTTTTCTGGCAAGGAGTCTGAATAGTTATTTCAGATTATATTCTGGGTAATTTTTTTGGCATACAACTTGACCAAAGTATCCCGTTAACTCAGGTCGAATACTTTCTGTAGAATGAGGTATAATAGTCAATATAATAATAAAGATTTCTTTTATCTGAATTGGGTCTTTTGTCTCTTGGAAGTAATTACTGTGTGATTAATTTAGATTATTTTTCTCTACTTTTCAAACTTCAGTTCACTGAGTTTTGATGACTTTATTATAGTGACTTCCTTATCTGTGTGAATTTGTTTTCTCAGATAAAGATATTGAAACACGAACAGAACTTTATTTAGGGGAAAATTTGGATTTTTAATTTTACCATGTGGGGATGAATATATCAGATACATTCTCTCTGGGTTTTTTTGAGGCATTGGGAGTTCTGCACAATTTTTTTCTTAATATGTTGTTAAAAATAACTTTAACTTATTGCCCCTAATTAAAGAGTGAAGTTAATATATTGTGGGCTTTTTGTTGTGTCATTTTAAAATTATTTCAGAGTAAGTTTTCTTATGTTTTAGTCATAAAGTTTCTTTGTAACTATATTTTAAGATATGTTAATATATTCATGACCAATAAAAATATATATTCATGATCAATGGTAAAGCAGAAATAACCAAACTTGAGTTTAGTGGTTTGTTAAATTTTGCAATTGAAAAGTCTTGACTTAGGGAAATGCTACTGCTTCAGAGTATAATTGGAGAACATTACCTTAGGACCTTTAACCAAAAAATAGTGATAGACATTGACCTGATTTTAAAATGACAAGCCTTGTTTTAAAAAAAAAAAAAAACATGTTAGAGAAAATGCAGGGTCACAGCATATCTTCTGGGATATATTTCTGCCCTTAGGCCTGTGTATAATTTGGTTATTTTTCTGGTTCTCATTTTTACTGTAAATACTCATCTTTATTTTATATGAACCTGAACATTTAGAAATGTACTAGTGGTGCCTTGACATCAATTTGCAAATGAATAGTATGAGAGACTTATTGGCATGTCTAGTACATTATATCTAAATAACTTAGTTCATACACGATTGCTATATTTACTTTATACAGTGTCTGGCTTGTAAATGACAGCTCAAATATTTTAGACCTTAGCTTCAAATAAATAGCTTAAAATTACACTCTTGAGGCTCAGCGCCTCTGGCTCAAGTGACTAAGGTGCCAGCCACATACACCTAAGGTGGCGGGTGCCTGTGGTCCCAGCTACTTGGGAGGCTGAGGCAGGAGACTCACTTGAGCTCAGGAGTTGGAGGTTGCTGTGAGCTGTGATGCTACGGCACTCTACCCAGGGGAACAGCTTGAGGCCCTGTCTCAAAAAAAAAAAAAAATTCCAGTCTTGGAGCTAGAAAGAAGTTTAGGCAAACTCCGTTTACAAGATTTAAATGGGGACCTGGGTGAGTGAAGTGCCTTACATCACATACTAGCAGGTGCCAAGGTTGGGCTAGAATGTAAATTTCTTAAATCTCAGTCCTTGCTCATACCCTCCCAACCCACCCCAGGAGTCACTTTACTTTCTGCCTGATAAATATTAATGTTATTAATGTTAATCAAAAGTTTTTTTATGTCTGTTATTCTTATGAGGAAGGAAAATGCCATTACTTGCAAAAGATGAGAAAGAAAGCTCAGATTAACTGACGTGCTTAGAAAAGAAGGAAACCAGGTTTCTTGAAATTCAGCTTTGGTGTACTCTCCAGAAGTCCCCCTCCTTTTTGAAAATGATCAGGTAGCTAAGATCAATTTCTTTGCACCTCTTTGAAATGTAAGCATACACAATGTCTTTTTATTAATACCTGAGATTACAAAAATCCTTTACTATTGAAAATTTAGATGTAAAAGCATAGGCTCTTACAGGTTGACATAAAATTATTTTGTCATGTTTACTATGCATAATTAACCTTTCCCAGAATTCCAGGTTGCTTTCTTTTTAAAAGAGTTTGGGATGTGTTTGGATTCTGAATATTAGTATTCTTTCACCAAAACATTAGTTTCAAGAACACAGCGAAAGGAGAAATCTAGAATCCTTAAATTCAGGGTAGCTTAGAATTTGTTATCAAGTATGCACAGAAAGACACTGAAGTTTAGTGTCCTAGAGAATATGGTTGTAGATGATCCTGGTTCATTATATCCCTTATTCTTTATTCCCAGGTGCACGCACAGGTGTGTGTGTGTGTGTAAGAGGTGTGACTTGTTAACCTTGGATGTATACATTTCATTACTTACATATCACTTTCCTCTAAAAAGATGATCCTTTATGTAAACTTTGCCATCACAGATCTCTCACATAATGTACAGTGCTTGAATAATAGGGAAGTTAATTTAATAAGAACATTACTTTTGCTCAACATAACATGTAATTAAGCTAAAAATTATAATGCAATGTTGATTGGCTGTGCACGGTGGGTCACATCTGTAATCCTGGTACTCTGGGAGGCCGAGGCAGGAGGATCACTTGAGCTCAAGATTTAAGACCAGCCTGAGCAAGAGTGAGGCAGTCTCTACTAAAAATAGAAGAAAGTAGCCAAGTATGGAGGCATGGACCTGTAGTCCCAGCTACTCAGGAGGCTGAGGCAGGAGGATGTTTTGAACCCAGGAGTTTGAGGTAGCTGTGAGCTAGACTGACGCCACTATACTTAAACCTAGGCAACAAAAATTAGATAAACACGAAGAAACTTCAGAGACTAAGTCCAGTTCCTTCAGTTTACCAGTGATGGATGGCTTTGAATCTCAAGGAATCAAAGTGTAGAGATAATAGCAGACCTAAATTTAGATTGCATGAATCTTAGCTATTCCCTTTTCTACTAAATTTATGTTTACAGTATTTGATTCCACAGAGAATGTGGAAGTCCATGTTCCTAGCTTAAAACCACTGGGGCCATTTTTTTTTCAGTTTTGCATGTGAATTTTTTTCCCTTCAGCCATAATAATACATCTAAATTTTATCTTAACTGGTAGGTCTGTAAACATGGGTTTATCCATCAACACGGCGAGGCAAATATAAACACTGCTGCTTGAAAGGGTCCTACTGTGGACCCTCTGGTCATCCAACCAAGTAGCTGGCTCCCTGGTTTTATGTTCACTATATTGTTCAGCCACTTTGCTGAATCTCATTCCAGACTTTAACTTTTGCATGGCTTCCGTGATCTTGCCCTGTTTTTTACTAGAATGTGTCTTACCTTGTCACCACCTTTGGAACCCTAAGCCACCTGTCAGAACTTCCACTCCAGAGCTGCTTCCCCTTCATTTTTTCCAGAACCAACTTTTCCTTTGGGCAGCATCTTTGAAACTTCCCATATATATGTTTGAAAATTTTTTAAAAATTCTGAATTCCCAAAAGGTAATGAATGATGCATGTACTATACAGTGCTATATCATTAGTCTAGAGTGGTACTCCTATAATTAAACTAATTGATTTGTCTAGTGAGACTTAGGAATTTTCACAATAAAGACTCAGAAGCCTAACATTTAGGTCAAGTATTTTCAGAAGTTTTTTCATTTCTAAATTGTGGATTGGGAATTGTGGGCCGTTAGTAGTGTAAGTTGGAAGAAAAACACAATCACTTCCAAAACTAGAGTTATCATTGAGCAACCCTTGGTTGCCAAATATTCTGCCAGGTACTTTATGTGTACAGTAGAACCTCCACAGTTGACCACCTCTTTTTTGGAGACAAGAGTCTTATTATGTCACCCTTGGTAGAGTGCCCTGGCGCTGCAGTTCGCAGCAACCTCAAACTCTCAGACTTAAGCGATTCTCTTACCTCAGCCTCCTGAGGACCTGGGACTACAGGCACCCACCACAACGCCTGGCTATTTTTTTGTTGTAGTTGTCTTTTTTAGCAGGCCTAAGCCGGGTTCAAACCCGCCAGCCCCAATGTATGTGGCCAGTGCCCTAACCACTAAGCTACAGGCGCCAAGCGACCGCCTCGACCACCTCTTTAACCTAAAATTTTCTAGACTGGACATGTACCGCGTGTACTAAGGCCCTAGTTCCTCATGTTGACCAATTTGTTACAGTCTCTTGGGTGATCAATTTACAGGGGTTCTACTGTATTTCAAAATCATGTAAAAATTCTTAAAGCAAGGTACATTTAGTCCCCATTTCATATGTGATGCCTAAGCTTGGGTAGATAAAATAACTGACATAGTTTACCTAACTATTAAGAGATGAAGCAGGAATTTGACTCCTAGTGTGGACAGCCCAAAGCCAGTGCAGTCTTTCCCATGTGACCCTGGCACAGGCAGGGTATTACTCATTGTCTTGGTGGTAGCACACTTTGTCTTCTGGGGTAGGGGTGTTATGATTCATTAATTCATAATAGGTCTTTTGTGGAGAGGACTAAATTTTAAGGTGAGCTTTTGGGGAGGCAAGGAAATGAGGAAACAATTTGGGGGAGAGGAATAAATGATAACAAAGGGATTAAAGGAAGGTAACCCCTGACAGGAAGAAAAACTAATGAAATATTTACTGTGAATCGGGGCGGGGCGGTGTTGGGACTGTATGTTTATACATTTTATAAAATGATGGCATTTTCCCCTAAGTGAATAGATTCTGAAGCCACCTAAAGGACAAAGAGATTTACAGCTCATTTTACATAAAAATTGAAGTAAAAATGCTAAACAAACTTGGCTAACTGAAGCCAGTGAGTACAGTTAAGTCCTCAATGTTATCTGTAGGTGCTTTGTACCTTCAGCTTCAAGTGAAATAATGTACAGCAGGTTCCCTAATAAGGCCATTTTGTTATAACGGTGAGAAATTGGTCTCATCATATGCTTCATTTAAAGTTGAGATTTCCAAGAGCCTGTTGATGGCAGTTTAAGTGAAGACTTACTGTATTAAAAGCATATGTTCTCAAGGTTGGTCCCAGGATTAAAAGACTAAGAGAAACTATGGCATTTTAAAAATGTTGGCCTGTCTTAAAGCTTGTATTAATGCATTAAAAATAGAAGGAAATTAAAATTAGGAGGTGATATAACTTGCAGAAGTTACAGACTTAAGGTAAGTGGTTGAGTTTTTAGTGTTTTAAGTCTCAATTTCTGATAAAACTAATTTTTCAGGGGAGGTAGCCTGGCACAGCAGAAGAAACCCAGACTATCAGGACACTTGGGTTTCAGCCTCCTAAAAGTTTATACTAATAATGGGAGATGTTGAACTCCACTAGAATAATAGTACCTTGCACTTAACAAAGCACTTAATAGTTTCAAGGCTTTCTCTTATTGGTTTCTTCCAGCTCTAAAAAGACCACTCATTAAGAAACAAAACTAATTTTGAATAAGAGTTTTGGTTTTTTGAGTTTTTGATCTGTTTGTCCCAGAATTATAAAACAAGGTCACCGTGCTGCATGACTAGCTCTGGCATACTGTCCACGTTGTAGTCCATGTGAATGTTGTTCCTCTGGAGTTGTATAATTTACAGTCTACATAGCCAAATGAGTTGCTTTGCAGTCTTTGGTTACTTGAACTTAAAGGTATTGAGCATTCTGAAAAATGTTAAATTTGCCTTTTTAAAAAATAGCTGCAAAGAGAAATGTGACCTCATTTCTCTCAGTTCAAAAGTAGCTTTTTTGACTGAGACTAGAGACAGTACCTAGAAAACTCACACGCTGCACACAATAGAAGGAAATCTTTGATTTAGCACAGGACCACTTTGGTCAAAGTGAGCATCCTTTTGTTGTGAAAAATTTATTACTATCTAGATTTTAGGATCTAGAACTGATTGTTACAGGGTTGTGTTGCCATGTTTTAAAATAACTAGTTAAAATTATAGGTCCTTGAAATGTCTTAAATAATAGAACCACAGGCTGCCAAAGAGTATTTCAACTAGGTATTGCAATTTTTCAGGTGCTTAGTGCTTATCTGTTTTTTAATAGTGTACCTGTTCTGTTGTCTGGGAAGCAAGGTGATTTTCAGGGAGATTCCCTTTCCAGCTACCTTTGGTTGAAGTGTAGAAGCCTTTATCTATCAAGATAAAATGACCTAGAAGATGAACTACTTGAAAAACTAAAAATTTGCTTGGCTGAGAAAGTAAAAGTCCACCCTGCTATTTTTGGGCTAAGATAATACCTGTCTTCCATGGACATGCCACAGCTATATAAGATTCATCACCACCACCCAGTGACTGCTGCTTTCCTATAGAGAATTTTGGTTCCCCAAGATCAAAGACTATCAGAAACTTCACTGTTTGGAATTATTTCAATTAGAATGAAGCTCTAAAGTCATTTTGGCACAAAGAACTAGGCTTGATTTGTAATTTCAGAGCTTTAGATAGGGGGTTGTTACCCACAAAATTTCTATATCTACCTTAATTTCTTGCCCACTCTGCAGTCCAAATCTGATGTTGACCCCTGTAACACAAAGCCAGAGTCTATTAAGACACTGCTTCATTATTAATACCTTATTTCTAACCTTCCCCCAAATCCTATGATTTTTTTTGTTATGTGAGATTCCTCAAACTTCTATGATGTATTTCTCTGCCTTAAAGAGTCAATAAACCTAACTTTGTCAGATTCTAGGTTTGTTCCTTGTGATTGGGTTACAGTTTAGAAGATAACCACTGAGATTTCTAAGACCCTTTGTTGCCGACTGGGACTTGACTCGGTAATTGCACAGCTGAGACCCCTTTAGTCTAGCCTGTTTGCAATTTCTCTGTCCCCAGTTGCATAGGTTTTGCACTAAACTTCTGCCCAGAAAAAATCTAGGAATTTTTTTTTTTTTTAGACAGAGTCTCAGTCTTGTTGTCCTCGGTAGAATGCCGTGGCATCCATCATAGCTCACAGCAACCTCAAACTCTTGGGCTCAAGTGATCCTCTTGCCTCAGCCTTCTGAGTAGCTGGGACTACAGGCACCCACCACCACTACAGCCAGTTAGTGTTTCTATTATTATTAGAGATGGGGTCTTACTCTTGCTCAGGCTGGTCTTGAACTCCTGAGCTCAGGTGATCCACCCACCTCAGCCTCCCAGAGTGCTAGGATTACAGGCGTCAGCCACCCCTACCAGGCCTCTTCTAGGCAATTTTATTTATCAATTACTTATTAAACTCACTGAACTTTGTAACTTTAAAAGGAAATATTTTCTTACATGGTAGAGATGAATATATAGTAAATCATAAAAGTAAAATAACTTGAATGTTAAGTAAGGAGTGCTGTGTCAAAAAAAAAAGTAGGAGATTGCAACATTTATCTAGTATATGAGTCCAGCTCATCAGTCAGAATACCTTTATCCTCTGTCTTCCCCTCAGTTTTCTGCAGAAGTTAGAAACTTCTGCCATTTCAAAAACTTAGAAGCTCTTTCCTGTAATTTTCCTGATCTTTTTTGCTTTCTTATATCTTATGACTTTGTTTTGAATTTTATATTTAAAATGTACATAACAGTGGCTAAAAAAAAAAAGTAGTATGTCTTAGGCAGAAGAAACTTGAAGATCAACATAAGTGAAGCAATTCTAAGAAATTACCCTGTATTCAGTTCAGGCATTCTGCTCTCAATGAACAAACATTTTTATATCCTGAGAAAATCTGGCATATGAAGTTTCTTAATCATCTTTGAGGGGTAGAAGAGTGGAGGGAAGTAAATGTCCCAGGTTTTAAACGGAGGCAAATAGCTGATATGCAGTGTGACTTTAATGGCATAAGTTCTTTGGAAGAGTATGTTTGCAGACCCTTAAGAAAAGGTTTGGGGCAGCGCCAGCGGCTCAAAGGAGTAAGGCGCCAGCCCTATGTGCTGGAGGTGGTGGGTTCAAACCCAGCCCTGGCCAAAAAAAAAAAGATGATTCTTTAAAAAAAAAAAAAAAGAAAGAAAGATTTGAAAGACCAAATCGATAGTTTGAAGGAGTTGGATTGAAAAATTGTCATTAGCGTTTAATGGCTTGTGGGTAAAGTATCTTATTTCTACTTTTTTTAGCCTAAGGGCTAATTAAAATCATGTTAATTAGCTCCTCAGGTTAAAATTAAATGAGAATTTAGGCAAAGTGGCACAGCTAAAATAACTACTGTTGTAATTATTAATAAAATAATAAAAGTCATGGACTCACCAAAAAATTTGTCTTCATAAATCAGTAGTCTTCATAATGCTGGCTTTTAGGGATATCTTTGGTTTTTGGTTTTTGGTGTTTTGTTTGTTTGTTTTGGGGGGTATTTTTGCAGTTTTTGGCCGGGGCTGGGTTTGAACCTGCCACCTCTAGCATATGGGGCCTGCACCCTACTCCTTTGAGCCACAGGTGCCACCCTTTTTAGAGATATCTTAAACATTTGATTCATGTGGCACTTTCAAAGCTTTTAACATGTTAATATTCATTTTGAAGGTTAAAAGGATGGTAATACTTGTAATATTGAATTGACCAGGAAACCAGAATACAAGTTGGAAAAGTCTATAATGAAATAGTTTTTTAAATGTGATGTTATAAGTGTATACTCTTAAAATGTATACTTTTAATTAGCTGTTTGTTTTTTGAGACAGAGTCTCACTTTGTCGCCCTCAGTGGAGTGCTGTGTGGTCATAGCTCACAGCAACCTCAAACTCCTGGGCTTAAGTGATTCTCTTGCCTCAGCCTCTCAAGTAGCTGGAACTACAAGCGCCCACCATAAATGCCTAGCTATTTTTTTGTTGCAGTTGTCATTGTTGTTTAGCTGGCCCAGGCTGGGTTCAAACCCGCCAGCTTGGGTGTATGTGACCAGCGCCCTACCCAATGAGCTATGGGTGCCCCTTAATTAGCTGTATTTTATTTTATGGCTCCTGTAAAGATTTTGTTTGAACAAAAAACTGTTTATCCCCAAAAAGTCTTAAGTACCACTGATTTAAATGAACTCATTTACTTTTTAAAAAGTTTATTAGAGCAAAAGAATTTTGTGAAAATACTGGATTTTTATTTCAATAAGAATTTTGAGAGAGCTGCACATGAGGTATTTGTAAATAAGATGAAGAAATATTGGCAGAATAATAGTTCATTGTAATGGACTTTTGCTCAGTAGCCAGACCTGGGGAGGGCTGACTAATAGATTGATCTCATCCTGTCCTGGAACACTATTTTCACTGGTTCCTTTTTTTAAGACATGGTCTCACTGCTACCCTCTAAGTGCCATGGTGTCATATCTTACAGCAACCTCAAACTCTTAGGCTTTAGTGATTCTCTTGCTTCAGCCTCCTGAGTAGCTGGGGCTACAGGGTCTCACCACAATGCCCACTATTTTTAGAGTTGGAATCTCACTCTGGCTCAGGCTGGTCTTGAACTCCTGAGCTTAAGCAATCCATCTGCCTCAGCCTCACAGTATTCCCACTGGTTCCTTAAAGGGCTGTTGTCTTGACTTTTTTACTAATAATATGGATGAGGATCCTGATGGTGTGCTGATTAAATTTACAGATGACGTGAAGTTGGGAAAGGTAAATAATATGTTGAGATGAAAGGGTTAGGATACCAAAAGTTTTTAGATTATGGAAAAGGAAGTTTTAGTCATTGGAATTGCAGTTTGAATTCTACTGAATGATGGAACAGCCCAAAAGGCAACTGAGATCTTGGATTGTATTAGAAGTATAGAGTAAAATAGGAAAAGGAAGGTCTTAATTCTGATCTACTCCCCACTCCCGTTTTTTTAAATATTACATTTAGTTCTGGCACTGCTTGGTAGACTTTACTAAATCGAAAGTGGTATGGAGGAAAGCCACTAACTCATGCATGAAGAGGGTACTTGAAATAGATCATGAGTAAATGTTCAAAGGAACCCTAGTTCCAGGAGGTAGAATAGGTAGAACCAATGAGTAGACATTAGAGGGAGGTTCCATGTCATCGTAAAGAACTGTTATTGGAGTTCTTTAGCACAGGCTGCTTTGGAGAGGTTCTTAGTCATTCCTTTCTAGGGAGATTTGTTGACAGGATACAAACTAAAGGTTGGATTTCATTGTCCATTAGCTCTAGTACGTACAATATTCTAGGTACCACTGAATTTTCTCCCTCCTACCACCACTACCATCAAACTTTAATAGGCTCTGTGAATGCTTAAACTTGGAAAAAGTGATTTGTTTTTTAAATTCAGACAAAATAGGAAAGACGTCAATCTTTTGTGACTATACACAGGTTATTGACTGTCATTTTTTGTAAAGGTAAAACCAGAGACTACTTTAGAAGTCTCTTTTTAATCTTTTTATTCTAAAGCAATGGCTCTCAGACTTTTTTGATATAAAAAATAACATTTTATGGCCAGGTGCAGTGGTTTGTTCCAGTGATCCTAGCACTCTGGGAGGCCAAGACAGAAGAATCTCTTAAGCTCAGAAGACCAGCCTGAACAATTGTGCAAGACCCCATCTCTCCGAAAAGTAGAAAAAATTCAGCTGAGCTTTATGTTTAGAGCCTATAGTCCCAGCTACTTGGGAGGCTGAGGCAGGAAAATTGCTTGAACCCAGTAGTATGAGGTTGAAGTGATGACATCAGTATAATATCACTGCATTCAACCTGGGGTGACAGAAATAAGACAGTCTCAAAAAGGGGGCCTAAGCACACTGATCCCTGTAATCTTAGCACTCTGGGAGGCCACTGCAAGTGGATTGGTTGCTTCAGCTCAAGAGTTTGAGACCAGCCTGAGCAAGAGCAAGTCCCTGTCTGTACTAAAAAGAGGGATAAAAAACAAAAAACTAGCTGGGTGTTGTGGCGGGTATTTGTAGTCCCAGCTATTAAGGAGGCTAAGACAAAAGGATAGCTTGAGCCCAAGAGTTTGAGGTTGCTGTAAGCTATGACGCCAGGGCATTCTACCCAGAGCACAGAGTGAGACACTCTCAAAAACAAAAAAAAAAGGAAGGAAGGAAAGACATTTTACATTGTAATCTGCTATACACAAACAACTGAAACAAGTTTAGGATTACTTAGATACAGTTTTCTGTGATCCTTAATTTTTTCTCTATTAAAATTGCTGGTTATTCATCAATAAGTGGATTTCAAGACCCAGTGAGTTTCGTGGCTACAGATTGAAGAATAGTGTTCTATAGGATCTCTTTTATCTTATGAATGACATGTTCACTACCTAGGTGATTAGTAAGACTAGCTATGTTGGCTATTGTGGGTTTCTTAAAACTCAAAATTTGAAAAGCATTTTTTTTTTTGAGACAGAGCCTCAAGCTGTCCCTCTGGGCAGAGTGCTGTGGCATTACAGCTCACAGCAACCTCCAACTCCTGGGCTCAAGCGAGTCTCCTGCCTCAGCCTCCCAAGTAGCTGGGACCACAGGCGCCCGCCGCAACGCCCGGCTATTTTTTGGTTGCAGCCATCATTGTTGTTTGGCGGGTCCGGGCTGGGGATTCGAACCCACCACCTTAGGTGTACGTGGCTGGTGCCTTAGCCGGTTGAGCTATAGGCACCGAGCCTGAAAAGCATTTTTTAAGTGCTTGTTACATTCTGGAAAATAGCAAGATGGTTTTTATTATGTAGTAGATTGTTTAAAAGTGGGGTTTAATTTTTTAAATGATTTTGTTAAAAAGCTTAGGGTGTTATTAATAATTACATAGGTCACTACAAAAGTTTTGAGACAAGGCCAGGTGCAGTAGCTCACACCTGTAATCCTAGCACTCTGGGAGGCCAAAGTGGGTGGATTACCTGATGTCAGGAGTTCTAGACCAGCCTGAGCAAGAGTGAGACCCCATCTCTAAAAATAGCAAGGCATTGTAGCAATCACCTATGGTCCTAGCTGCTTGGGAGGCTGAGCCTAGAGAATCACTTGAGCACAGGAGTTGAAGGTTGCTATGAACTATGACACCACAGCACTCTACCAAGGGTGACTAAGTGAGACTCTATCTCAAAAACAAAACAAAAAGAAAGTTTGGAGACATACTGTTATGGTCCATTATTTCACTTTCTAGAAATACAGTCGATAATGTCCTTTCTGATTCACTGTGCAAGTTTTGACTTGCTCAGCTCATCAGTTGCTGGAAGAGCTTCATTTATTTCTCTATGAGGGGATTTTATGTTTCTTGATTTTTGTGTATCTCCCTTTTGTAATGACCCATGTAATTAAATATATGTTTGTATCTGACAGCTTCATTATTCAGCTTTCCTCACCTCAAAGTATTGCATATTACTAAAACGAATGAGAAAACTTGAGTATCTTTTTCAATAGTACAGGAACCAATACTTATAAGACCTACATAGTCCTACATATGTTTTAATGGAGTGACTTAATCATCACATCCAAATAAGAGTGTTAATTATGTGTTAAAAATTATGGTATTACTCAGGATGGCACAAATGATTACTTGTAAGTAATGATCATTGTTATTTATTGGATAGTTATGTATCTGGCACTCCTGACCACAGTCTTGAGAGATGGGTATTATTACTCCTGTTTTACAAGTGAGGAAACTGAAATTCAGAGAGGAGAAGTAACTTGCTCAAGGAGGTAAAACTAGTAAGTTGCAGAGTCAGGATTTAATTCCAATTCAGATATAATGTATTTTTAACCTCTATGCTAGGTTGAAATCTCATGTTGGCCTCCCAGTTCTAGTTGTTGATACCTATTTTTCCCTGAATAGTTATTGGCGTATAAGTAATAGTACAGTCACATGTCACTTAACAAGGATACATTCTAAGAAATGCACCTTAAGCAACTGTCATGCAAACAGAGTGTATACTTCCACAGACCTAGATGGTGTAGTCTGCTACATACCTAGGCTATTTGGGATAGCCTCTTTGTCCTAGGCTATGAACTATATATACAGTTTGAGGTTGCTGTGAGCTATGATGTCACATCATTCTGCTGTATATATAGTATATATACAGGTTGCTGTATTGAATATTACATGGAGTTGTAATATAATGGTAAGCATTTGTGTATCTAGACATAGGAAAGGTACAGTAAAAATGCAGCATTATAACTTGTAACTGTTATGCAGTCCATTTTTTACCAAAATGTCATTACATAGTGCAGTGCTATATTTTGAGGAACTAAGAATGTTTATTTTCAGCTAGAAATAGAACCTCCCCATTCTCTGGGACTTAATATTACTCTTAATTGCTGGACTTCTTTCCATCCTGTCTTCTCTATTTCCAGTTTTTATTGGAACAAATTCACGAATGTATTTCAGGCTTCAACAAAGCAAATTTCCAGGTGGTAAAAATAGCATGCTGTTTTGAATAAATACCTTTAGAAGGCAAGACATAGTTTGGGAAAGAACCAAATTATTATGTTATTGTAAGGAGTTTTGAATGGCCCTTGTTACCACAGATATTTAAATTACTTTTTTCTTGGTTGAGCACAGTGGCTAGCACTTTGGGAAGCTGAGGCAGGTAGATTGCTTGGGCTCAGGAGTTCAAAACCAGCCTGATCAAGCATGAAATCCCATCTCTATTAAGAATAGAAAAAATAGCCAGGCCCCATAGTGGGTGCCTTGTAGCCCCAGCTATTCTGGAAGCTGAGGCTGGTGGATCACACTTAAGCCCAACCAAGATGTTGAGGTTGCTGTGAGCTATGATACACAGCACTCTACCCAGGGCAATAGAAAGAGAGTCTCTCTCTCCTTCTCTTTCAGTATATATTCCTATATATATGGGAATTATTTTTTTCTTCTCCCTCTTTAGGATGACAATTTGATTTTGACAGGGTAGTCTGTAATTTCTTTTTTCTTTTTTTTTTTTTTTTGAGACAGAGCCTCAGAGAAATTAAATGATTTGCTTGAAGTTCTAGAACCAGAGCCCAGGATTCCTATTAACAGAGATCCTATACTTTTTACTATATAATACCTTTCTCAAGTGTGTTTAGTGATAGCTTAAGGAAACAGAAAGTTGTTTATGTTGAATCTACACTTAAGTGTGATCATTAATGCTAAGCAGGTACCTTTCTCCTTTGCAAGTTAAATGTTCTCGATGTATTCAGTTCTTCATATGATACACCCTTTTCCTTTCCTTCTTTTTTTTTTTTAAAGACAGAGTCTCATTTTGTTGCCTGGGCTAGAGTGCCATAGCGTCAGCTTAGGTCATAGCAACTTTATTTTTTTATTTTTTTATTTTTTTTGAGACGGAGCCTCAAGCTATCCCCCTGGGTAGAGTGCCGTGGCATCACGCTCACAGCAACCTCCAACTCCTAGGCTCAAGCGAGTC